ATCCAACTCTCCACATTATTATCATTATTATTTTTACTAAACCATAAGCTGAACGGGTTTTTAAATCTCATGATGTGGTTAGAACTGGAATTGAATTTATAGATATTTCTATAAATATTGAAATGGGAAAAAACTAGTAGACAAAAATATTCTCTAAACTGAGCAGATATCTTGTTCAGTTCACACATTCTTACAGTAAAATATTTTATACTTCCTCTCTCCTTAAGATATGTTTAAAAATAAATTTAGAACACTGAAAATATTGTGAGTTTCTCCCCTTTAATACTTTATTTATAGTGAATATTTGACAGACCTTTTTTCCTCTTTACTTCTGGTTTACAATAGCTTTTAATTCACTAGTTGCTTTTTTCCCAAGTTTTTATTTCAGTTCCAATTAGTTAATATACAGTGCAACATTAATTTCAGGTGTAGAATCTAGTGATTCATCACTTACATACAATACTCAGTTTTCATCACAAGTGCCCTCCTTAATACCCATCACCAATTTAACTGGTCACCCTGCCCACTTCCCCTCCAGTAATCTTCAGTTTGTTTTCTTTTTTTTTGACTTTTTTTATTGCTCAAACGGAATATATATATTAATAATATTATATATATATATTAATATGAAATTCATTGTCAAATTGGTTTCCATACAATACCCAGTGCTCATCCAAACAGGTGCCCTCCTCAATGCCCATCACTCACTTTCCCCTCCCTCCAACCCCCTATAAACACTCAGTTTATTCTCAGTTTTTAAGAGTCTCTTATGGTTTGGCTCTCTCCCTCTATAACTTTTTTTTTCCTTCCCCTCCCCTATGGTCTTCTGTTAAGTTTCTCAGGATCCACATAAGATTTAAAACATATGGTATCTGTATTTCTCTGTATGACTTATTTCACTTAGCATAACACTCTCTAGTTCTATCCACGTTGCTACAAAAGGCCAGATTTCATTCTTTCTCATTGCTGAATTTGTTTTCTATAATCAAGAGTCTGTTTTCTGCTTTGCCTCTCTTTCCCCCATGTTCATGTGTTTTGTTTCTTAAGTTCCACATATGAGTGAAATTATAAAGTATTTGTCTTGCTCTGGCTGACATATTTCACTTAGCATAATACTCTTTAGCTCTGTCCACATCATTGCAAATGGCAAACTTTTATTCTTTTTGATGGCTGAGTAATATTTCAGTGTGTGTGTGTGTGTGTGTGTGTGTGTGTGTGTGTGTCCTTTGGGTAAATACCTACTAATGCAATGGCTGGATTATATGGTAGTTCTATTTTTAACTTTTTGAGGAACCTCTGTACTATTTTCTAGAGTGGCTGCACCAGTTTGCATTCCCACCAACTGTGCAATGGGGGAACTGTGTTCCCCTTTCTTGGCATTGTCTCCAATACCTGTTATTGTGTTGTTAATTTTAGTCATTCTGAAAGGTGTAAGGTCGCATCTCATTGTAGTTTTGATTTGTATTTCCCTGATGGTGAGTGATGTTGAGCATTTTTTTTATGTGTCTGTTGGCCACCTGGATGTCTTCATGGGAAAAATGTCTATTCATAACTTTTGCCTATTTCTTAACTGGATTATTTGATTTTTGGGTGTTGAGTTTGCTATGTTTTTTATATATTTTTGATACTAACTCTATCAGATGTGTCATTTGCAAATATCTACTCCCATTTTGAACGTTGCCTTTTAGTTTTGTTGTTTCCTTCGCTATGCAGAAGGTTTTTATTTTGATGAAGTCCCAATAGTTTATTTTTGCTTTTGTTTCCCTTGACTCTAGAGACATATTTAGTAAGAATTTGCTATGGCCGATGTCAAAGAGGTTGCTGCCTGTTTTCTCCTCTAGGATTCGATGGTTTAAAATTTTTTTAATATTTATTTATTTTTGACAGAGAGACAGAGCATGAGCAGGGGAGGGGCAGAGAGAGAGGGAGACACAGAATCTGAACCAAGTCCAGGCTCTGAGCTGTCAGCACAGAGCCCGATGCAGGGCTTGAACTCACAGACCATGAGATCATGACCTGAGCCAAAGTTGGATGCTCAACCGACTGAGCCACACAGGTGCCCCTAGGATTCGATGCTTTTAATTAATGTTTAAAATAATGAGTAACTTAGAGTTGATCTATATGTGGTAAAATGTCAGTCGTGTTATTTGGATTGTGGCAGTTTAATTTATTAGCAATTAAATTTATTAATTGAATTCCCTTTGGTTTAAATTCTGCTATGCTTTTTCACTGAAGAAACATTTTCTTTTCTTTAAGAATTAGGAATTTAACCACAGTAAGCAAGGAAATGAAAAACTGTTTTATAATCATTCAATAAGACATTATTGAATATTAGGGCTGTGTGCCTCTGAAAAATTAAAAAAAAATGTTTTTGGGGTATAGCATTTAACATTTTTTTTCCTGGAAGGAAGGAGAGATGTGTCTTTCTTGAAGAGAGAAATTTGGCAGGTATAATGCATTACTCTTTATTTAGGGAAAGATAGTAAAAGACAATTTTTAGTTGTGAATAGCAGTTATGATTTAAGACCTGTGTCCTGTAAGGCAAAAGCATTATAGCGGTAAATGATCACTAACTGTTCATATACAGTAACCTTATGTTGTACGTGTCTACTACTCTGCATTATTTAGAATTAAAAAAATAGTTATTAATCAGTTTAACTGTAGTAATGAATAATTATTCTGAAAATCTGTCTGTATAAATTTTTTTTGACTATAACAACTACAGTTAGCTTCTTGATCATAATTAAAACCCATGGAGGTTTAACAGAGCTGAGAAGTGGAAGATTTGAAGAAGGCTTGAAAAACTAACACTGAATGTTGGAGCATCGAATCCATTGAACATCAATTATTTTGCTAACATTGTTAACTGAAACTGATAGCCTGTGAGAGATTCTTTTGTTCAGAACCAAACTCAAATAGTTTTTCTCAGGGTTACATTGTAGTCAGGATAGTAACATTATGCCTGCACACTGAATATTTTGTTTCATAGTACTATTTACTCCCATTCCAGATAGTAAAAATTCTACCTTTTATAAAGTTTAACATTAAATTTATATGACAAAAGTAATATAAACCTATTACTATTATCTGTTAGAAAGAAATCAGGATTTTGCTAGTTGAAATAAAAGACAAATATTATTTTCTTATAGAATAAATCCATTGTTGTTGCTATCTTAATATTCTAGCTAATTTTCAGCAGCAAGATATTTCCGAAGAGACTTTAAGATTAGCTCATGGTCAATATTTGACACATATAAAAGCACAGCTTATACTAAACTATCTGTACACCATGGAAAATAGTAGATAACTAGAAATACAATGTTTATTTCACATAGTATTATTTTTCATCTTTGAACATTAGTGAGATTCTCAAGCTAGTTTTGAATTTGTTTTTTTTCTAGCAACACACATACTAAAATTGAATGATACAGAGAAAGATTTATAGGACCCTCTACAAGGCATGCACATTTTTAAAAGTCTTCATATTTATCTTACTCATCTTTAAAGTCCAAATCAAAAGCCACGTCTTTTGATCTTCTCAGGTTGAATTTATCTCTATCTTTTGTGCTCCAAATGCATTGTTTACATCAGTATTTTAGTCATTAGTATATGTGTATATATTTCTTACATCCATGTATAAAGTATCTTTATATTTCTCACAACATTTAACAAAATTCCTTGTAATAGTAGGCACTCAAAACATCCTTATGGATTTGAATTTCTAGAAGTCACTTGTTATTACTGCAGTATACACTTACACAAATACACAGGCATATAACTTATATAAAATAAATGTGAGAAGACCATATAAATTTTCCAGTTGCTATAAACTTTAGGAGTTTTCTGTATGTCCAACCGATAAAGAAATTGGTGACAAATTTTAGAAAGAGAGGAGAAAGGATTTTGTATGAAGGGAGAAATGTCCCTGGTTTAGGTGTCACTTTTTACAGCCAGTGGAATTCTGAAACAAATATATTAAACATTAAGATATACACTCATGCAAAATATTGTGGCAGTTGTTGATCTATGCTGGAAATAGCTTATCCTGTTAGGTCATTTAGATTGCTTCCTTGTTTCCTATATGTGGTGTCTTATAAGCATACCATTTTCCCTTTGGGACAACTGGAGTGAACTCTCTTCTCAGTATGTATAAAAAGTTAAAGGTATTTTGTAACAGCTTTTGATCATGGAGAAAATGTATCTTTGCATCTGTTTGGTGGTAGACATGATACTGTTAAAGGCTTACCATTTTCTTCCCAAAAATAGTCTAAGAAAACTGAGATCTGGAAAAATTAGGGGCATTTTATTTTTGCTACATCTTAAAGCTTTCTTTTTTTTAATTTTCAAAAAATGTTTATTTTTAAGAGACAGAGAGAGACATAGTGCGAGTGGGGTGGGGCAGAGAGAGAGGGAGACATAGAATCCGAATTAGGCTCCAAGCTCCAAGCTGTTAGCGCAGAGCGCGATGCAACCTTGAACCCACCAACTGTGAGATCATGACCTGAACCAAAGTCGGATGCTCAGCCAACTGAGCCACCCAGGTGCCCCTAAATTACCTTTTTAAAAAAGGTTTCTGAAAAAAAAAAAGGTTTCTGATATGGTAGTTAAGACTCTACATCAAAACATTAATTTGAAAAAAAAATTTAGAACCCCAAACCAACCAACTAATCAGCCAGTCAAAAAACATTGTCTAAATTCTCTGGATAGGTGTGTGTGTGAAATTATGCTCTTTGGATGAATTCGAGCCCTGTGTCGGGCTCTGGGCTGACAGCTCAGGGCCTGGAGCCTGCTTCAGATTCTGTGTCTCCCTCTCTCTCTGCGCCTCCCCCGCTCACACTCTGTCTCTCTCTCACACAAATAAACATTAAAAAAAATTATACACAGAATTAAGATTCTTCAAGTACCATAAAGTGCTTCCTATGTCTTAAAGCTTTCTGAATGAGCCACTGAACTTTGGTATTTTCACCTCTCCCTGCCTTAATATGTGTATGTGTGCGTATGTGTGTGTGTGTGTGTGTGTGTGTATGTATGTATGTATATATATATACACACACACGTATATATATATTTTTTACTTTTTTCTTTACCTTATTCATATATGCCATGTAAATTAATGGTTACCTTCTATAAACTTGAAGAGAATATTTTTAACTTAACTATTTTGTCTGACTATACTAAAGCTCACCAATGATTCTGTATCTTTACTGTAATTTTAAAACTTTCCATGAATGCGAGAAGAGCTGTTGAATTGCTACCAGTATGCATTTGCACTAAGATTAAAATGAACATCTCTTTCACACAAATTTAGCTCAATAGAATCCACTAAGTTATAGTCACAATTTTCTAAGTGTGCTTGGAACTCTGGATGTGCAAACAAAAGGCCATATGGAAATGGCTTTCTCTAAGGTACCAGTTGGTATAGTTTTGTGGGATGCATGTGCCTGTTGGCACTGCTGGCAGTTCAGCACCCTGGGAAAAACATTGCTTTCACACATGAGTAATTGATGAATTGTATGTAATATGCAAATGTGAATACATAAATCTCCTGAATGACAGCTTAATTTATGTGAGCTTTTAAGAATGTGGGATTAGATTTTAATTAAATATCCTCAAAGGCACACTGACTTTTTCAGTTTTTTGGCTGCTATCTTTAGAAAGAAGTCGGGGAAGGTTTAAATCATAATTTTATGTAAATTATTCACATTTTTCTAATAAGTGGTCATTTTTTAATAGAAAAATCAAGGTATTTAAAGAAGAAAGGCATTTATCTTTAATTATAAAAGCACTTCTGTTGTATTACAATGTCTGCAGCTTGTCATATATGATAGAAAAAAATATGTGGTTTGAAAATTAATGTCGTATACTTCAAATATAATTCTTAAACATATTTCAGATACTACCATATATTTTAGTATCCCAAGTTGAACAATGGTAACTATAGATGACATTTCTTAGTACATGTTGTTGGGACATTAATACTGTATATGACATTCTACATATTATTACCTTCAAACTGTCTAAAATAAAGAATTGATGGAGATAGAGCTGTCAGTCCCCCTTTGCTCTTAAATATGTAGCGTGTATGTGTGTAGTTTTAAGTTCTGATAATAGTATTTTGAACCTTACAAAATATGCAGATTAGAATAAAAAGAAGCTAATAAAAATCTTTGAAATTTATGAGCATTTTATCCACCTAATCTTTCTATGTGATCAGCTATAAATTAACATTAACATGTATTAATTATTGATCTATCTAGAGTATGCTGTAAGTACCGTTGTTTTAAAATATTCAAACTTTATAGTAAATCACATTGTCCATAAGCAATAAATACATAAAAATCTTGACCAGTTATGGGCTTTGCCTAGTATTACTTTTTTTCCTATATATTTGCTTTCTTATAATTTACATTAAAAAGCTTATTTTTTGACTACATGAAAAATGACTACCTATAACTCTTCACTTGAATATGTATTTCTTTTTTAAAAATTTTTAACATTTATTTATTATTGAGAGACAGAGAGACACAGAGCATGAGCAGGGGAAGGGTAGAGAGAGGGGGAGACATAGAATCTGAAGTAGGCTCCAGGCTCTGAGCTGTCAGCACAGATCCCAATGTGGGGCTCGAACTCACAAACTGTGAGATCATGACCTGAGCTGAAGTCGGTCGCTTAACCAACTGAGCCACCCAGGTGTCCCAAATATGTATTTCTTCTAAGGTATCTTCTATGTATCTTGTAATGTATCATTGTAGTGCTTAATTGCATAAACTCTGGAATCATACTTTATAGATTCTAAATCCCAGCTCTGTCACTACCTGTTGTGTGACCTTGGGAAGATTATTTAATTGTGTCTAAGCTTCAGGATTTTTGCCAGAATGAGGGTACTGAATATAAAGCACTTAGAAGTGTGCCTGGAACTTGGTAAGCCCTATGCAACTTACTGTTATTATTTATTTCCACTGTTCCTATTATAACCTCATTTTTACCAGGAAGGCCTATCTCTTCTCTGATCCTAATGGAAGAGTTTGCCCTGGAGAAGTGTGGGACTAAATTTTCTAGTTTCTTCTCTGTAGAGAAAAGAATGTATGGATACCTAATTTTAATAGGTATTTTTTAAACTTCAAATATAATTAACATAGTGTTACGTTTGTTTCAGGCATACAATGTAATGATTCAATAATTCTATATTCTTCTCAGTGCTCATCAAGATAAATACATTATTAATCTTCTTTATTTACTCTACCCAGACCCTCCCACCTCCCCTCTGGCAACCACCAGTTTGTTCTCTATATTTAAAAATCTGGTTTATTTGTTTGTCTCCCTTTTTTCTTTATTTGTACATTTGTTTTTATTCTTAATTGCCACATGTGAGTGAAATCATGTTATTTGTCTCTAACCAACTTATTTTACTTAGCATTATATCCTATAGAACCATCTATGTTGTGGCAAATGACAAGATTTCATTCTTTAATATGGCTGAGTGACATTCCATTAACATAACTTCTTTGTTCATCTATTGATGGACACTTGGGTTGCTTCCATATCTTTCTTTGGTAAGTTATTATTTAAATGCCTGTTCATTAACTTACAGTGTCATATTAGTTTCAGGTGTACAATATAGTGATAAAACCCTTCTATACAACACCTGGTGCTCATCACAAGTATACTACTAAATCCCCATCACCTATTTAGGCCATGCCCTCACCCATCTCTCATCTAGTAAACCTCAGATTTTTCTGTATAATTAGGAATCTGTTTTTTTTCTCTTTCTCTTATTTTTCTTCCATTTGCTTTTTTGTTTTGTTTTGTAAACTCCACATATGAGTGAAATCATATGGTATTTGTTTCTCTGACTGAATTTTTTGCTTACTATTATCCTCTCTAGCCCCATCCATGTTGCTGTAAATGGCAAGATTTCATTTTTAATGGGAAGTAATATTCCCATTAAATAGTCTTTATCATTCATCAATCAATGTACACATGAGCTGTTTCCATAATTTGGCTAATGTAGATAATGCTGCAATAAATATTGGGGTGCATATATCCCTTTGTGTATTTGTGTATTTTTTGGGTAAATACCTGGAAGTGCAATTGGTGAATCACAGGGAAGTCCTATTTTTTAACTTTTTGAGGAGCTTCCCTACAGTTTTCCAGATTGGCTGCACCAGTTTGCATTCCCACCAACAGTGCAAGAGGGTTCCTTTTTCTCCACATCCTCACTAGCACTTGTTTCTTTTTGGTTGCTGTTGTTTCCAGTTTTTATTTAAATTCTAGTTAGTTAACAAACAGTGCAACATTGATTTCAGGAGAACTTAGTTATTCATTACTTATAACATCTAATCCTCATTCCAACAAGTGCCCTCCTTAATACTCATTACCCATTTAGCCCATGCCCCTGCCCACCTCCCCTCCAGCAACCCTCAGTTTGTACTCTATAGTTAAGAATACTTATGGTTTGCCTCCTTTTCTTTGACTTTTTTACCTTCATTTGTTTTGTTTCTTAAATTCCACATATGAGTGAAAACATATGGTGTTTCTTTTTCTCTGGCTGGCTTGTTTCCCTTAACAAAATACACTCTAGCTCCATCCACATCATTGCAAATGGCAAGAATTCATTCTTTTTGATAGCTGAATAATATCTCATTATATATATATATATATAATTAATAAATAATTAATTATATATAATTATTATATGCCACAGCTTCTTTTTCCATTCATCAGTCAATGGACATTTGGGATCTTTCCATACTTTGACTATAGCAGATAATGCTGCTATAAACATCAGAGTGCATGTGCCCCATTTGAATCAGTATTTTTGTATCCTTTGGGTAAATACCTAGTAGTGCAATTGTTAGGTCCTAAGGTAGTTCGATTTTTAACTTTTTGAGGAATCTCCATACTGGTTTCCAAAGTGGCTGCACCAGTTTGAATTTCCACTCCATTAAGAGTGTAAGAATGTTCCCCTTTCTCTGCATCATATACAAATCTGTTGTTCCTATATTAGTAATTTTAGCCATTCTGAAAAGTATAAAGTGATATCTCATTGTAGTTTTTATTTGTATTTTCCTGATGATGAGTGATGTTGACCATCTTGTCATGTGTCTGTTGGCCATCTGGGTGTTTACTGGGAAAAAGTTCTGTTCATATCTTCTGCTCTTTAAAAAAAATTAATGTTCATTTATTTATTTTGAGAGAGAGAGAGAGAGAGAGAGAGAGAGAGAGAGAGAGAGAGAGAACAAGCAGGGGAGGGGCAGAGAGAGGGAGAGAGAGAATCCCAAGTCAATTCCACACTATCAGTGCAGAGCACAATGCAGGGCTCAATTTCATGAACCATGAGATCATGGCCTGAACCAATATCAAGAGTCAGATGCTTAACCAACTGAGCCACCTAGGTGCCCCTTTCTTTTGCCCATTTTTAATTGGATTATTCTTGCTTAGGGTGTTGAGTTTTAAATTTTTTTATATATTTTAGATACTTACCCTTTATCAGATATGTCATTTGCAAATATCTTCTTCCATTCCATAGGTTGCCTTTCAGTTTTTTTATTTTTTTTTTCATTGTCCAGAACCTTTTTATTTTGGTGGAGCCTGAAAAGTTTATTTTTACTTTTGTTTCCCTTGCCTCAGGAGACATATCTACAAAGAAGTTGCTATGGCCAATGTCAAAGAATTTGCTGCCTGTGTTCTCCTCTAGGATTTTACTGGTTTCAGAAATCACACAGTCTTTAGTATATTTTGAATTTATTTTTGTGTTTGGCATAAAAAAGTGGTTCAGTTTCATTCTTTTGCATGTTGCTGTGCAGTTTTCCCAACACCATTTGTTGAAGAGACTCTTTTTTCCATTGGATATTCTTTCCCGCTTTGTTAAAGATTCACTGACCATAGAATTGAGGGTCTATTTCTGATTTTTCTATTCTGTCCTATTAATCTATGTGTTTATTTTTGCATCAGTACCATACTGTTTGAATCACCACAGTTTTGTAATATAGTTTGAAGTTGGAATTGTGAGGCCTTCAGCTTTGCTTTTCCTTTTCAATTTTGCTTTTGCTATTCAGGGTCTTTTGTGGTTCCATACAAATTTTAAAATTATTGTTCTAGGTCTGTGAAAAAATACTGGTGGCATTTTGGTAAAGATTGCCTTTAATGCCTAGATTGTTTTTGGGTAGTACAGACATTTTAACAATATGTGTTTTTCCAATTCATAAGTATGAAATGACTTTCTATTTCTTTGTGTCCTCTTCAATTTATTTTTTCAGTGTTTTATAGTTTTCAGAATATAGGTCTTTCACTTCTTTGGTTAGGTTTATTCCTAGGTATCTTAAGGTGTTTGGCGCAATTGTAAATGGGATAGATTCCTTGATTTCTTTTTCTACTGATTCATTACAGGTGTATAGAAATGCAACTGATGTCTGTACATTGATTTTGTATCCTGCAACTTTAATGAATTTGTGTATCAGTTCTAGCAATTTTTTGATATATTTTTTAAATATAGAGTATCATTTAATTTGCAAATAGTGAACATTTGACTTCCTCCTTGCTGATTTGAATGCCATTTATTTATTTATTTATTTATGCTGTCTGATTGCAGAGGCTAGGACTTCTAGTACTTTGTTGAATAACATTAGTGAGAGTGGACATCCCTGTCTTGTTCCCGACCTTGGAGGAAAGCTCTCAGGTTTTCACTATTGAGGATTATATTAGCTGTGGTTCTTTCATATTATGCCTTTATGATATTGAGATATGTTCCCTTTTCCCCTACCTTGTTGAGGGTTTTTTATCAAGAATGGATCCTTTGCTGTGTGAAATGCTATTTCTGTATCTATTGAGAGGATCATATGGCTCTTATCATTTCTTTCATTAATGTGATGTATCACTTTGATTGATTTGCAAATATTGAACCACCGTTGCAGCCCAGGAATATATCCCACTTGACTGAGGTTTATGATTCTTTCAATGTACTGTTTGATTTGATTTACTAGTATTTTGTTGAGAATTTTTGTATGCATGTTCATGAATGATATTGGCTTGTTATTCTCTCTTTTAGTGGGGTTTTTGTCTGGTTTTGGCATCAAGGTATTGCTGGCCTCATAGAATTATTTGGTAAGTTTTCCTTCTACTTTTTGGAATAGTTTGAGAAGGACAGGTATTAACTTTTCTTTAAATGTTTGGTAGAATTTCCCCTGGGAAGCCATCTGGTCCTGGACTTTTGTTTCTTGGGAGATTTTTTATTACTGATGTAAATTCTTTGCTTATTATCGTTCTCTTTAGGTTTTTGATTTCTTCTTGTTTCAGTCTTGGTAGTGTATATGTTTCTGGGAATTTATACAATTCTTCCATATTGCCCAATTTTTTGACATATAATTTTTCATAATATTCTCTTATAATTGTTTATATTTCTGTGGTGTTGGTTGTGATGTCTCCTCTCTCATTTGTGATTTTATTAATGAGTTTATAAATTTTACTATTCTTTCAAAGAACCAGCTCCTGGTTTCATGTATCTGTTCTACTGTTTTTGTTTGTATGTTTGTTTGTTTCTGTATCATTTGTTTTCCGCTCTAATCTTTATTATTTCCCTTCTGCCGGCATTAGACTTCATTTGCTGTTCTTTTTCTAGTACTTTCAGATGTAACATTAAGTTGCCTATTGGAACTTTTTTCTTGCTTCTTGAGGTAGACCTGTATTTGTACATACTTCCCTCTTATGACTGCATTTCCTGCATCCCAAATGTTTCAGATTGTCATGTTTTCATTTTCATTTTTTCCATGTATTTTTTAAATTTCTTCTTTAATTTATTTGTTGATCCATTCATTGTTTAATAGGATGTTCTTTAACCTCTATATATGTGTAGTCTTTCCAAATTTTTTCTTGTAATTGACTTCAATTTTCATAGTGTTATGGTCAGAAAACATGCATGGTTTGATTTCAAAATATTTGTACCTGTTGAGGCCTGATTTGTGACCTAGTATGTGATCTATTCTGAAGAATGTCCCATGTGCACTGGAAAAGAAAGTGTATTCTGCTGTTTTAAGATGAAGTGTTCTGAGTATATCTGTTAAGTCCATCTGGTCCAGGATGTCATTGAAAGCTATTGTTTCTTTGTTGATTTTCTGCTTAGATGATCTGACCATTCCTGCAAGTGGGGTATTTAAGTCTCCTACTATTATGGTATTATTATCAATGAGATCCTTTATGTTTGTTATTAATTATTTTATATATTTGAGTGTTATCATGTTGATGGCATAAATATATATTTTTAAATTGTTAGATCTTCCTGTTCCATAGACACTTTTATTATGATATAGTACCCTTCTTCATCTCTTGCTACAGTCATTGGTTTAAAATCTAGTTTGTGTTATATAAGTATTGCTGCCGCTGCTTTCTTTTGATGCCCATTTGCATAGTAAATTGTTCTCCATCCCCTCACTTTTAATCTGGAGATATCATTGCATCTAAAATAAATCTCTTGCAGGTAGCATATAGATTGGTCTTGTTTGTTGTTGTTGTTGTTGTTGTTGTTAATCCATTCTCACCCCCCTATATCTTTTGTTGGAGTATTTAGTCCATTTACATTCAGAATAATTATTAATAGAAATGAAATTATTTTGATTGTATTACTTTTTTTTTGCTTGTTTGTTTGTTTTTGGCGATTTTCTCTGTTCTTTTGTAGTCTTTGTCACTTTTGGCCTTTCTTTCCCACTCATAGAGTCTCCTTAAATATTTCTTGCAAGGCTGTTTTAGTGGTCACAAACTCCTTCAGTTTTTGTTTGTTGGGAATCTCTATCTCTCCTTCTATTCTGAATTATAATCTTGCTGGATAGAGTATTCTTGGCTTCATATTTCCCCCATTCATCATGTTTAATATATTATACCACTCCCTTCTTGTTTGCCAAGTTTCTGTGGAGTGATTGGCTGCTAACCTTATTTGTCTTCCTTTCTAAGTTATGGATTTATTATGTCTTGCTTCTTTTAACATTTTTTATCTCTTTATTTTGCATATTTAACTATGATATGTCTTGATATTGGCCTGCTTTTCCTGATTTTGATGGGAGATTTCTGTACTTCCTGGATGGATGTCTGTTTCTTTCCCCATATTAGAGAAGTTTTTAGCTATAATTTTCTCAACTAAACCTCTTGTCTCCTTTCCTCTGTTTTCTTCTTCTGGGACTCCTA